GAGGGGGGGTCCCTGGGCGGGAAAGGAGGAATGTGGGGGGGGGGGGTTCACTCACTCTTCTTGTCCCGCTTGGATTTAGGCATGGCTCGCACGTTGCTGCCCCAGCTGAGCGCGCCAAGGACCCTGTGCGCCGCGAGGGCTGCCGGGATAGGAACCCCCTGGAGGTGCCCGAGGAGGTGCCTGACCAGAGCAGCCCTCGCTGGGGTAATCCCTTCCGCCACAGCCGGCCCCGCGCGCCCCTTTCCGCGAGGAGGCTGCCCCCTACGCCGCCGTTAGCTCCAACACAAATAGCTGACCCTGCGCGGGAGAGGATTTTTTTCTCTCACTCAGGCGCCCAAAGGGCAGCCCCTGCGGGCGAGGCCCCGCCTCGCGGCGGTTCTGTGACGGCGGCGCGCTGCCTGTCGGGATAGACTCGGCCTCGGAGCAGCTTCCGGGCTCGGACCATGACGGCCGGTGCTTGGCCGTGGCTGCTGCTCCTGGCTCCCCTGGCGGCCGCGGTCTACGAGGATCAAGTGGGCAAGTTCGACTGGTGGGTGCTGGGGCCACATCCGGGTATTTAATCCCCCCGTCCCCTGGGGTGGAGGTCTGGGGCCCCCCCGTCCCTTGGGCATCCCCCCCACTGTCCCCTGGGTCGGGGTCTGGGGATCTCCCCCCCACTGTCCTCCTGGGTCTGGGCATCCCCCCACTGTCCCCTGGGGTGGGGGTCTAGGGATCTCCCCCCACACACACTGTCCCCTTGGGCTGGGCATCCCCCCCCACCGTCCCCTGGGGTGGGGGTCTGGGGATCCTCCCCCCCACACTGTCCCCTGGGTCTGGGCATCCCCCCCACTGCCCCTTGGGGGGGCTGGGAATCCCCCCCCACAACTCGGTGGGGTGGGGTGCTGGGCAGCTGCCGTCACCCCACTGTTCTCTTGGGCAAGAGGGGCTGTGTCCGGGTATCTCCCGCCCATCCCTGGGGTGAGCCGAGGAGAAGCAAGTACTGAGCGTTGCCCTATTTTAGCCCGAGTCCGACCCAGCTGCCAGACTGGGTTTGAAGTGGGTAGAACTGCTGCAGCTGAGCTGAGCTGAGCTTCGGGAGATGAGCAGGAGCCTGCTGGGAGCTGAGCTCTGCCCCTGGCCCCGAGCCGGCTTGCCTGCGTCACTGTCACGGGCGCTGGTATCTCTGGGGGAGAACGCGTCCCCCAACCTTGCCAGGGCCGTGTGAGAGCCCCAGCTACAGAAATATCTGTAGGGAACAGGCCTGCACTGGCCATTGGAAAAGTGCATTAGCTGACCAGGTATTAGTCCTACTGTCTAGGATTTAGCGCCCTTTGCCTCACGAAGCTGCTCCCTGTCTCCCTTTTCTCTAAGGGATAGCTGAGGATGTCGATTTCTGCTTCTCATCTCACTGGGGAGGAAGAAAATGACCTTTGCACAGCAGTGGTTTTCAACCTAAAGACACAGGACTATAGGAATTGCCATATTGACTCACACCCAAGGTCCATCTAGTTCAAAGTCTTGTCTCTGACAGTGGCCAGTTTTGTAGGAAGGAGTAAGAACCGTGCAGCAGGCAGACATGAACCTTGAGGCTTAACATCCCTTCCAGAATGATACAAAACTACTTAAGATCGCTAAGTCCCAAGCAGACTGCGAAGAGCTACAAAAGGATCTCTCAGAACTGGGTGATTGGGCAACAAAATGGCAGATGAAATTCAGTGTTGATAAATGCAAAGTAATGCACATTAGAAAACATAATCCCAACTATATATATCATAGAATATCAGGATTGGAAGGGACCTTAGGAGGTCATGTAGTCCAACCCCCTGCTCAAAGCAGGGCCAATCCCCAGACAGATTTTTGCCCCAGATCCCTAAATGGTCCCCTCAAGGATTGAACTCACAACCCTGGGTTTAGCAGGCCAATGCTCAAACCACTTAGCTATCCCTCTCCCAAAATGATGGGGCCTAAATTAGCTGTTACCACTCAAGAAAGAGATCTTGGAGTCATTGTGGATAGTTCTCTGAAAACATCCACTCAATGTGCAGTGGCAGTCAAAGAAAGGGGTAGATAATAAAACAGAAAATATATTGCCTCTGTATAATCCATGGTATGCCCACATGTTGAATACTGCGTGCAGATGTGGTCGTCCCATCTCAAAAAACATATATTGGAATTGAAAAAGGTTCAGAAAAGGGCAATAAAAATGATTAGAGGTATGGAATGGCTGCCATATGAGGAGAGATTAATAAGACTGGGACTTTTCACCTTGGAAAAGAGACAACAAAGGGGGATATGATAGAGGTCTATAAAATCATGATGGGTGTGGAGAAAGTAAATAAGGAAGTGTTATTTACTCCTTCTCACAACACAAGAACTAGGGGTCACCAAATGAAATTAATAGGCAGCAGGTTTAAAACAAACAAAAGGAAGTATTTTTTCACACGACACACAGTCAACCCGTGGAACTCCTTGCCAGAGGATGTTGTGAAGGCCAAGACTAACAGGGTTCAAAAAAGAACTAGATAAGTTAATGGAGGATAGGTCCATCAATGGCGTCCCTAGCTTCTGTTTACTAAAAGCTGGGAATGGGTGACGGGCTGGATTGCTTGATGATTACCTGTTCCTTTCATTCTCTCTGGGGCACCTGGCATTGGCTACTGTCGGAAGACAGGATACTGGGCTAGATGGACCTTTGGTCTGACCCAGTATGGCCTTTCTTATGTTCTTAATGTTTGTTTTTATTAATTATGACGACTCTGGATATTCTTGATATCCATATAAATATCCAGTCCCATTTTGGATATTGTAAAGATGGGTTCTTGCAGGTTGTCAGAGATTGACATTTATTTCCAGTCTCTTTCAAAGTGCTCATTTCACATCCATGGTGTCCTAAAACACGTTCTCCAGCAAATTTATCCAATTCTGATGTGATCTACTGAGTAAAGCAATGGATGGGGATTCAGGAGACCTGGGTTCTAATTCTGGCTGTCACTGGCCTGCTGAGTGATCTTGAGTAAATCATGTAATCGATCCTGTGCCTCAGTTTCCCCGTTTGTAAAGTGGGGATAAGGATGCTAATGTCCTTTGGGCTTTGAGGTCTACTGATGCAAAGTGCTGTATAAGAGTTAGGTATTATTAATAAACTTTTATTACATGTCTCTTCTCAGTTGCATGTTTGTGGGTCAGATGGTAGAAATCCGTTGATGCTATCTAATATGCAGAGAGCTCTGGGAAGAATTTAATATGGCCCCAAAAGAGCTTTGAAGACCAGTGACTTCCTCTTTGCAAGGGGCCGTCTTAATAGAAGCAGCGCATGGCAGCTCTTTTCATTGATAATAATACATTGTTTGCTTTGGTGGTATTTAGTGAAGATGCAAGAATGAGACTGGTTATACTGCAGTGCAACAGTTCATCTTTTTCATTTCTTGTTAATGAATGTAGAATATTAGACACTTCGTTTTCTTTGTGTGAATTTCCTAGCAGCAGATTTGACATTGAGCTCCAAAATCTCACAAAATTCCTTTCTTGCTCATTCAGACTCAATTTCTCTCTTCATTTACAGTGAACTCCCCTTCCCTCTCAAAAGAAGGATTATTGTAGTGTTGTGGTTGCCCTCTGTCAGTCCTTAATAGTTGCAGCTAGTGCCACCATATTGTTTGTGTTCTGTCCACCTGTGTTAATTTTAATCCCCCTTTCCCCATTTTTCAGAAGGTTAAGTGGAAAGTGTTCTTTTTTTCACACCTTGTTTTGATTTTCCTGTTCCTTAGGAGGCAGCAGTATGTGGGAAAACTCAAGTTTTCTTCCTTGGAAGCTTCACAGGGCTCCAAGAAGCTTATTGTGGCTACTGAGAAGAATGTGATGGCTGCTTTGAATTCCAGGAATGGAGAAATCTGTGAGTGAACTGTTGTTTTATGACTCGGGAATCTGCTATTTGTGTGGGAACCAATGCACACGAAACCAAAATTGAGCCCTGGCATACATTAAAAGTTACTCAAGCTTACAGCAAAGCTAACTTTTGGCACATAGTTCATTTTAAGGGTTGCAGGGTGGTTAACTAGACATGACTTTATTTTCCCTGGAGACGAGGAATTTTTAAAAATATTCTTATCAATTTTATTTAATTTTTTTCAGGCTTAGTGGCTTCATTTCCTACTTTCGAGTATAAACTTGTTAGGTGCTGGCATGACTAGTCTGTTCTTGACCAATACAGTGGGACCAAGAACTGAATGGGGCATGAAGACTGAATTCCTCTCTCGTCCCTAGAGGTGGTCTTGCTGGATAAGATTTGAGGCACATTGGAAGGGCCGTTTTGAGGAAGCTTGCATTGGCACTATCTATACTGTACTTGGCCTGTGGTTAGATAGAGGATGTCAGTCTGTGGCACTGCCAGTTGATACCTTTCTTCTGCATGAAATACCCCAGGGAAAAAAATCATTCCCCCTTTACTCCTTGTTCCTTTCAGTGTGGCGTCATGTGGACAAGGGGACTCCTGAAGGAGCAGTAGATGCCATGCTGATTCATGGACAGGGTAAGCAAAGCATTTAGCCTTTCCTGTGTGATGAGTGTTCATTCCCATTACAGACATCCAGCCAAGTTTGGACAGAGGGCTAAATTTCCTAGAGCTAATAGTCATGGTGAGCCTGTAGTGGATACAGGTGCAGTGTTAAAGATTGTGTCATTTACTCCATGGCCTGTTCTCTTCTAGTCACATGAGGATAATTTCCTGCTTATCTGCTCTGTTTAATTTACCACTTGGTGCTATCAGGATCACGGCTACACAAAGATTCTTTTGTGACTGTGCATGACATTAGGAATTCTGGACTCCTAGTGCTAAGAGTATAAGTGAACCATAAAGCCTGAAATCCTCTGCACATTATACAAATAAAATGACTTTCCTGACTATGAAGCAGACCAGGTGTCTTCTGGGCCGTGGTTGATATGTAATGTTCTATCCATAACAATGGAAGAGCAGGTAACCTGGAGGATGAGCAGGGAATTGAATAAAGAAACCAATATAAAAATATTTGATTTGTTATTCTCTCCTCCCGGCCAGATGCCATCACTCTGTCTAATGGCGGGCGCATTTTGCGTTCCTGGGAGACAAACATTGGAGGGCTGAACTGGGAGACATCACTGGACACTGGCAGGTGGGAAATCTTCAGTGGGCTTGTCGCTATACCCTTTGGAGAGGGCAATTTGCCTTCTTTGTGTGTAGTTGTGTTTTAGGGACAATGTCAATTACAGTAACTCCTCGCTTAACGTTGTAGTTCTGTTCCTGAAAAATTCTACTTTAAGCGAAACGATGTTAAGCGAATCCAATTTCCCCTTAAGAATTGATGTAAATAGGGGGGTTAGGTTCCAGGGAAATATTTTTCACCAGACAAGACTATATTTTATATATATACACATATACACAGTATAAGTTTTAAACAAACAATTTAATACTTACACAGCAATGATGATTGTGAAGCTTAATGGTGGTGAAGTCAGAGGGTGGAAGAGGGTGGGATATTTTCTAGAAGCAGAATGGTAAATGATGAACTAGCATTTGGCTGAGCCCTCAAAGGTTAACACGTTGTTAATGTAGCCTCACACTCTACAAGGCAGAACGAATGGAGGGAGGGGAGATAGCAAGGCAGAGAGAGATAAAGACACACACGCGCATTGCCCCTTTAAGTAGGCTTACCCCACTCTAGGTACATTGCCCTTTTAAGTAGATCAGCAAGTTGAGATAGCAGCTGCTGCCAGCAAGCTCCCTCCATCCTGAGTCCTGTTTGTGTCTCTGTGGAAATGGGTAAAGTAGTGATGGGGAGAGGGACACCCTGACATTAGCCCCTTGCACAGCAAGCAGGAGGTTCCTGGGAGCAGCTCCAAGGCAGAGGGCAGGAGCAGCACACGGCAGTGTGGGGAGGGGCAGCTGAACTGCCTGGCAATTGCTAGCCTGCTGGGTGGCTGCCGCACTGGGAACTTAGGGGAGCGGGCAGCTGATGGGGGGGCTGCCAGTCCACCCTGGTTCCAAGCCCCCACCACTAGCTCCAATGCTGCTCTTTCTGCAAGCTGTGGACAAAGCTGCCAAACAACGTTATCAGGGAGCATTGCACAACTTTAAACGAGCATGTTCTCTAATTGATCAGCAACGTAACAATGAAACAACGTTAACCGGGGTGACTTAAGTGAGGAGTTACTGTAGCTATGAGGGTCATAAAGTAACCCTTGTGGGAATATTGTAGAGATGCTGAATTTTGCAGTCGTTTATCACAAGTAGGACTAATGCTATATCCTATAACCATGCAAAATTCTCACTTGCTTGAAGTGAATAGTGGATTACATTTTGTATCTGGGCTGATACATTTTCATGACTATTTTGCAATGCTGAAATGGGGGCAGGGGGTTGTACATAGTCTACATTTATTGGAGGTGGAAGATCGAAATCCTTTACTTATACATAAGCTTCCCCTATCAGTGTGCAACATTCTGGACCTGGAGATGCCACTTTGGCTTGATGGGATGGTTGGTCTTCAGTCCCATCCTTGCCCTCTCCGCGGTGATCAGCAGTTAGAGCTCCAGTCAGTGCCAACTGTTATGGTGGTTTGGTCGCACAATATTAACTATATCTAGGTAAGAGTAGCTATTTTTAAGAAAAATGTGTGTGTTGTGCCAGCTACCAGGGTGGAGAAGAGCAGGGCTGTTGTCTATAATTCTAGTGTTGCTATGACTCCACAAACTGGGTAAAGTCTCTATAAGTATTACCGTCTCACTCTCTGTCTCTGACCTGTGCTTAGTTTCCAGATGGCTAGTTTGGTGGGGTTCCAGGACACAGTGAAATATTTGGCCGTCCTGAAGAAGGCTGCCCTTTCTCTTCATTACCTCTCCAACGGCCATCAGAAATGGGTGGAGCATTTACCAGAAAGGTACAAATCCAAACCAAGGATAGATCACTGACTCTCAAACTTGTCTTAAGGGGGAGAGGACCCTTTTGCTTCTGAAAATGTTGTGCATAGTATCTCATGAGGGGGTTGGGGGGTTGCATCCGTTTCCTGCACCTATGAGAGTATAGACTCTTTGGGAGGGGGACCTTGCACTGCACTGTATGAAAGAGAAAATATGAGCACTATTTGGGTAATTGGGGGGGAGGGAGGGAAGAGGGTCTTCTTGTGCATAAAGACAGGAGCACATCCATTTCTATTTACTGATTTTAGTGCAGGCAAATTACAGACCAACTGACAGCATTGTGATTTATGCACTGTATGGTACTAACATGGACTTGTGATAAAGTGATCATATGGTATCTTAGGGCTCGTCTACACTTCAAAGCCAATTCAGATTAAGATAGGGTGTGAATTTAAAGAGCAGAAGCTATTCCTGAATTAGTCCATGTGTAGACAAACCTTTAGGTTAGTGGAACAAAATAGGTCAGGAGGTGACATCTCTTATGGAGAAAAAGCAATCTACGAATAAACTAAGCATATTAACCTGAACAATCCAGTTTGTGCTATTAGTAGCAGCTTCCAGTCAGAAAACAGGGGCCCACCCAGGTGTGGGAGTCCTCTTGTAATATACAGGAATGTTCTAATGTGATTGACTTCTGAAGGAAGATTAAAACTACTAAATAGTTATAACTAGGCTAAACAGTGATCGCTAAATGAGACCTGACCATATTCCAGTGACTGAGGCCAGTGGGAGAGGGAGGATGAAACTAGGTTACCTGAAGGGAGGAGGTGGAGTTGATAGGGGAAAAACTTTCTAATGGTGAATCTGTGAAATAGCCTCCCAAGGGAAGTGGAGGAAGTCCTGTTGCCTGAGACACCTACTATCCTGCACTGGCCTGAGAAGGCTAAGGGGAGGATGGACAAAATGACCTCATAAGTCGTCTTCATCAATACTGTCTCTGGGTTTTCAATGTGTTTAACTGCAGGAGGTGATGGCTAAAGGGGAGGAGTCGCTAAAACATTTATTTGTGTTGATGGGCAAAAATTCTCCTGTTGGGCAATGCACCCAGTCTTTCCTTGTGAGACCCGTGATGACATTGAATAGGCTCCTAGAGCAGGGGGCTTTACAGGTAGCTCTGGGCAACTATTGGAGAAGATGATTCATTGCTGCTTCTCCTCTTGCAGTGAGCGTACCCAGTACCAGCTGGTGTATTCGTATGGAACCGGGGTAGTACGTGCACTTGGAGTTGCTCCTCGAAGCCATTTGAACATTGTAACCTTCAGCGTAGAAGATGGCGAAATTACAAAACAGGTAGAACTGATACATTGATGCATGGTGTCAGCTCGTCACCAGGTTGGCTCTAGTGTGGATCCAATTTAACAAAAGCTCCCATCTGGATAAATTTAATGTGATGTCTAGGGAAGTTAATTGCATTGCTGGCACATAGGTCAAAATGTCATCCTGTCTCCATGGGATGTCTCATGGGCCTGGAAGGAGACTTCACAACTGCATCTCTCAGACACAGGGCTTGCAGAACATAGTAAAGTTGAGATCAACCCGGGTAATCTCCGGATGGATGGCAGTTTACCCAAGGTTACAAAATCCTGGCTTTATGGGTATCCCATGGGGAAGAGCCACTGTTCATTGATAAATGGGATTCTCCTGCTTTTCACACAGGCCTTTGTTAGTGTGACTAAGTTTAGAAGTGAAATGTAACATTAAGCCTTTGATATCACACACTGGCTGGCAAGATACAGGCCCCTTGCAAACAGACACAATCAAAGCTCTTTCTGGAATTTCTTTGTGGGGTTTTCCAACTGCTGCCTCTCTCCCTTTATTGCCCTGCAGCTAAGAGTGGCAGCCCCCTGGATGAAGAGCCTAAGTGGTGCCTGTTGTGTGGTGGGCGAGGCAGTGCTGGTGTGTGCTGACTCTGACACACAGTCGCTCTATGCTTTATCCCTGGAGACTGAGCAAGAAATGAAGCAGATCCCACTGCAGGTGAGCGATCCTGAAATAGTCTTGCATGTAAGTGGACATCAGACTAATTTGGAGGAGGGAAAGGGAGATCACATCGCTTCCATGTAATGGTTGCTTATGGGGTGATGATTTTAGCTCTTTAAATCTTATTTTTTGTCGTATCATGGGAAGTTATCCATCCTGCATCCCAGACCTCCGCACTATGGCTTCATGTTCAATCAGATACGGACTAACGCTTCATACAGGTTGTATTGTTAGTGAGGAAAGGGATGTGTTTGATCGAATTGTGTAATAAGTTTCCATCTTGCCATGTTTGCTTGTTCCTCTTCTCAGGCCCTTGACCTAGAATTTGCTGACCATTTCCAGCCCAGGATTTTGTCCACTAAGCCCAATCCTGCCAGTGCTTCACGGGCTCAGTTCTTCCTGCAGCTGGCTCCAAGTCACTTCACACTGCTGCAGTACAGAAACGGGCTGCTAAGCCTCGTCCGGGACTTCCAGCAGGTAAACAGAATGAACCTAGCTGCAGATCTCTGAACAGAAGAGATGAACTACAGCAGAAATTCAGAGGATTGACTGTTTGGCTGGCTCCATCCATCAGTAAAACCAGAACCTCCATCAAGTATGCACTAAGCATTCTGAACAAGCTGCTGAAGCTCAGGTGTCAATCATGCTTTCTGTAGCATTGGTTGAACCTATGTACAGCAGCAGTTAAACTATGTAACATCAGTTCAGGAGGATCCAGTTTCCGATGATTCTCACCAAGGTGTGAGTTTACTAATGCAGGGTCTGTGCTGAGTCAAGAGGTGGTTTGCTGCTAGAAAGCACCTAAATGACCAGTGGTTCTAGTACATTTAATACTGCTGGTGGTAGTTCTAGTGGACCAGAAATATTTGAAATGACCATTTCAGATTCAGTGCAGTATTGTCTACAAGAGACTGGCCAGTTGGGGATGGGCTCAGTGATCTAATAGGTTTCTAGAAATTAGCGATGGAAAAGACCATCTTTTCCCCATTAGGTTCTTTTCTTCCTTTCTTTGACTTTGATGGTAGTTTTCCATCTCTTATGCTCCTGAGTTTCATCTTTCACATTTAATGGTATTACTGTTATGGGTGGGAAACCTGTTAGTCCTCAACTCTGAAGACTCAGGCAAAGCATGCTAGTGTGAAAATCATCACCACCACAGGTGAGATCACCTCAGTGGCGGCACCTGGAATTTTGCCAGGCTTCTGACTGGTCAGTGCTAAAGGTTACTGGACCCCAGCGTGAACCTTCTCTTCAGTGGTTGTACCAGAGGTTGCTTCACTTCCTTGTAGTGAAACTTACCAGAGTCTTTCAATCTGTCAGAATTGCTTGGTATGCTGAAAATGAACTGACCTGTTGGGGGGGAGGGATAGCTCAGTGGTTTGAGCATTGGCCTGCTAAACCAAGGGTTGTGAGTTAAATCCTTGAGGGGACCACTTGGGGATCTGGGGCAAAATCAGTACTTGGTCCTGCTAGTGAAGGCAGGGGGCTGGACTCAATGATCTTTCAAGGTCCCTCCAGTTCTAGGAGATGGGATATCTCCATTAATTAAAAATTATTTTTTTTATTTAAATTCGGCTGAAATTGTTCTAAACCAAATGAGAATTAAGTCCTCTGCACAAACGTGTTCTTATCTCCCCCCCAACCCCCTTGTTTTTCAGGCAGCTTTGGTGAACTTTGCAACAACTGGGGAGAAGACGGTGGCTTCTGTCCTGACCTGCAGGAATGAAATGGTTAGTCAGTTGCACAATGGAAATTTCAGATATGCTTCTAGTTGTAAAAATGTGTGGGGTTTTTTAGTTAGTTAGTTTGTATTGCTTTTTTACTGTTATAAAGGTTTTGAGGGGCCACCGAAGAGCAGTGTTCTACCACTGTCAGACTGAATGTACCACCTGGACTTAAACACCTTTGGGCACAAGAGGCCCAGGCCGGTAATTCTGATTCAGTCTCCATGGAAGTCGATGGTAAAATGTCTATTGACTTCAATGGGGCCAAGATTTCATCTGTTGTGACTATCCGTATGCAAGCGTCTGTAGAGCTGCTGAGTGCCGAGCAAACTCAAGCTGGACCGTGGTGCAATGAATTTACAGAGCGAGATGACTCTTAAGGATTGTCTACGCTACGTGACAAAGCACATTAGAGGTAGAGGGCTCCAACGTGCTTCACTCTAACTACCCTGTGTAGTCCCTGCTGGCATGACCTAAAAGGCACCTAGGTTTGTGTTAACATAGTCACTACTACGTTAACGCAAACTAAATACTTTTTAGTTTGCACCAGCAGGATCTACGTGGGCAGTTGGAACACAGCACATTAGAGTGCTCTGCAAATCACATCCCTCTAATGTGCTTTACCACCCTGTGTCGACAAGCCCTTAGCGAAATAAATACCTTAGTG